TTTCCATTTGCTGCAGAGAGAATCTCGCTTTGGCTTTTAAAACCTGCAGGAGACAGCTCCTTTAGGAATGTATTTTAAATCTGGTAGAACAAAACAGTCTATTTAACACCAACCTCAAAGGATATTTTGAAGTTTAAAAGGTACTTTCTGCTGTGTGCTTTAAGGTTATACACCAGCCACAAAAAAAAGTTCTGTTTTTTGTGCAGCTCTGTGCATGTGTATAAGCATAAGCTTCCAGAAAATCAGTTGTAGTGGCACTAAGCAGTGTTTGATGTATGGCAGAGTTCCCTGCCCTTGGAAGGGTCAGGCATACAACATCTGCCTGCATAGCACCAATCCAATATTGGACATTTGTCTTATTGACATATCTGCTGTATCTTCCCTGGTGTTGGGCTGGAATGAGATTGGGGAAGGAGCAATGATCATCCATAACCACTGGGATTTGGAATTCTGCAAAAAGGGAATGAAGTTTAAGTTTGTTCCTATCTTCCTTCTGTTTCCTGAAAGGATGGGAGGGCAGGCATAGAACTGATCAGGAGAGTGGGAATAAACCTGCTTCTAGACAAATGCTGGTCCTTGTCTTGCTTCATCAGTGCGTAGGAGTTTTTACAGAAAGTTATTGTTCATACTGTCACAGCTGGAGTGAATTATTTTCCTAAAATGTCCTGCTGCAATCTTCTTCTCAAACAGGGCAAAAAGAACAAGGTATCAACAAGTAAGCAGACCTGGATGGCAACCAACACCTTGTCCAAAGCTGCTTGCCTGCTGACTGTATTGAGTGAGCGGCTGGAGTACCACAACCTGGCCTTCCGAATAGGAATGTTTGCCCTGGAGCTGCAGAGGCCACCTGCTTCTACCAAGGCCCTGGAGGTATGAAGTGTTTAGAAATGATTAATTCTGTAAGCAGCATTGTGCTACTTGAATGCTTATGCTTGCCTAGCTCCTATTGCAACTTGTGAAGTTTGGTCATGCTTTTATAGGTTTCCTAAAAAATAGCTTTTTCCAAACTAAATGGATTGTGTGCACATCCTAAGCACACACAGACTTTCCTGGGAGGCAATTGGGATGATCACTTCATCTGAGGACATCTTCACTGAAAGGAAGCTCAGGCCTCATCTGCCAACAAGCATTCGATTTCACATGAATCTATGAACTTAAAAATGTTTACATGAGTGACAGTTCCTTTATGAATGTATTTTTTTCCTTTGCAACAGCTTACTTCATGTTATCTTAAATATGTTCCCAGTTTGCTTAGCTAATCTGAAAAAAGAGCTGTTTGTAAACTGAATTGTCCATATTTGCACTGCTTAAATGGTTTGAAATGTATTTCTTTGGGTGCACTAGTGCAATTGTTTCATGTAGGAAAACTGTTGTTCTTGCTGATGTTTGATTTGTTGGTATATGAACACGTATACAGTTGCAAGTGTGTTAGTGTGGACTCAGCCTAATGACTGTTAGGCTTCCTTATTTAGGAAAAAAGAAGTGGCCAATTAGGACCTTGTCTGTGAGTTGCAGATGCCTTCCTTTTGACTGCAGGGTTGCATGGGCTCTGAAAATGTGTATTGTTGCTAGGAATTCACTAAGTACACTTGTTATTTGGTTTATCTGTAGTTATTAGGGTCTGAAAAGATTAATTGTGAGGTTGGCAGTCACCAGCTGCCTCAGCTGTTCTGCCAAAAACATTCACCTTCCCATGTTAAAATGGAGAGAGTGCAGGAATGGCGAAGGATTGTGAATGTCATGATGGCCTCAAGTTGCACCAGGGGAGGTTCAGGTTAGATATTAGGAAAAATTTCTACACAGAAAGAGTAGTCAAGCATTGGAACAGGCTACGCAGGGAAGTGCTGGAGCCGCCATCCCTAGCAGTGTTCAAGAAATGTGTAGGTGAGGCACCTAGGGACATGGTTTAGCAGGCATGGTGGTGAGGGACTTATGGTTGGACTTGATCATCTCGAAGGTCTTGTCCAACTATAATGATTCTATGATTCTGTGATCTCTGTTCTCGTGGCCTGCTTCTTGCCACCCCATTAACATTTACCTCCTAGCCAGGCCCCCTTCGTTCAGGCTGATGTATTACTTAATGTTACGTGTTTTTTCCTACAATTAGAAATTGTAGGAAAAGAGTGTAAGAATTTTTCCAATGACTTATCCAACCAAACACTTCTAATGTTGCTCAGAACCTATGCTGATGGCTGCTTTTTCTCTTTCCTTGTGGCCACTACTAGGTGAAGCTGGCATATCAGGAGTCTGAGATTGCAGCCCTCTTGAAGAAGATTCCCTTGGGCACTAATGAGATGAACACTATTCGAGGAAGAGCTGAAGAACTGCGAGAAGGGACCTTGTGTGATTATCGTCCTGTCCTGCCTCTCATGTTGGCTAGCTTTATTTTTGATGTCCTGTGCACTCCAGGTACAGTCTGCATTGGCTTGCATGTGCAAACAGCATGTTCTAAGATTCTAGGTTTTGAGAGGTTTTCAGAAAAGAACTGTTGTCTCTGTGTGAACAGCCTAAGCTTGATCTTTCTACACCATTATTTCCTTCATGTAGTTCTAGAGATATTTTTTATTCCAGTGGAATTGGCTCTGTTTCTGCCTATGTTTGAAAACAATTGGAAACTTATCATACTTCATCGGCCCTACGAGGAGAGGCTGAGG